AGGGGGAGAACAGTGGAGGTACCATGCTTGGAAAGGAGGCCAAAGAACCCAGTCTTAATGGATCACTGGCACCTACTTCATATATGATAAAAGTATAGGTAGGTAAGGAAATGTTACCTATTGCTTCCACAACTTGGTTGTAGGATGTCCCACAATCCTGTGAAGGTTTTACTACTTTTAAGTAATTGCACAGGACACAAAGACATGGTATTCTTGACCTCTTACTGTAAAATCGGGGAAGAGCAAGGGACTAAGGCATAAAACATGGTCTGATTTGAACTCACTTTGGACAGTGCCTGGATATCTGCTTGCAAAAGCTATCAGATGGTACAACACTCCCAGAACTGGGTTCTGGGTGTATCAGCTGGGGAAATGGGTCCTATTGCTTTTACCAAGCATAGAAAGCAAACTTCTAGCAAAGTAGAAGACCCTTCAAAGTGTTTTGAGGGATGGAGACCGTAGCCCGATCCTGTAATGAATGCCAATTGGTACTCAAGTAATGAGAGGTGTGTGCTAAGGTTCTTGCCCCAGAAACAGACACGACAGAGTCAAAACTGACAAGTCCAATATCTTGTAAGGAACTCCATGGTGTATAGCAAAGGCACTCACACAGAGAGCAAAACACAACCTTAATTACCTTTGTTACTATAATTAATAGAGATAAGAAAGCTCCAAATCACATAAGCAAATAGAGGTAATAGAGTATTAAAGAAATTTTAAAGGTTATTCACTGCATAATTTATGTTCATAGACTTACATACTCACACCTCTTTATTGAAGATCTGGTGGTAGGAGACAGAGGACCAGCCCTGTCTCTGGCATGCAAATGGGTCAGATAGTCCAGGTCCCCAGTGCTTGAAAATAGATGATATAGTACTAAAATATTGAAGGGTGGAGGGCTAGCTACCTACTTCATGTGGGTTCTTGCTTACTTAGGGCCTGGGAATCATCATTAATATTCATACTAACACCCACCCTCCTCTGTCCATATCCAACTTCCTCACCCTAAGAATATTGGAGTGCCTTTACCTGATAGGCTAGCATATTAATCCATATTCACTCATTACCATATTGCTGAAGCAAATTTGTGGTTAGACATCTGCCATCGATCCTAGCCGAATATATCCACGTTTAGTATCAGTTCAGTGTTCCTGCGGTTGCCTAGTCTCATTTTATGCCAACTTTTCTCTTAAGCAAACTATTCCCAGCTCCCCAAAATCCAGGGTGACAGTTGGGCTACTTATCAATGCTGTTTCTGGTGATTTATTAAATTGAAAACCATCTAGTCAATATTTTTATCAGTGATCTAGATGATGACATAAAATCTTTGCTCGTAAAATTCACAAGTGACAGATTGGTGGGGAAGTAAATAACAAGGGAGACAGTTTACTATTACAGAGATCTAAATCATCTGGTCAAATAGTCACAGTCCAACAAAATGCATTTTAATGCAACCCAATGTAAGGGTAATCTGCATCTGGGCCAAATAAACAAAATGCATGCTAGATAAGAGACTCTGTCTTGGAAAGCAGTGACTCAGAGAAGGACTTATGGATCATTGAAGATAATCACCTCAACATGACCTGTCAATGCAATGTCATGGCAAAAAGAGCTGATGCAATCCTTGGATGTATAAGTAGGGGAATATCAAGTAGAAGTAGAAAAGTCTTCTTGCCTTTGTAGATAGCATTGGTAAGACTGGCTGTATTTTGAAGATTCCTTATTGAGGTTGCAGGAACAAACCATCCTGATGTGTAGAAAGAATAGTATATATGGCAGGTGACCAGCTTGGCTTAACAGTGAAATCCTTGCTGATCTTAAACACAAAAAAGAAGCTTACAAGAAGTGGAAGCTTGGACAAATGACCAGAGAGGAGTATAAAAATATTGCTCAGGAATGCAGGAGTGAAATCAGGAAGGCCAAATCACAAAGGAGTTGCAACTAGCAAGGGATGTTAAGAGTAACAAGAAGGGTTTCTACAGGTATATTAGCAACAAGAGGGTGGTCAAGGAAAGTGTGGGCCCCTTATTGAATGGGGGAGGCAACCTAGTGACAGAGGTGTGGAAAAAGCTAATGTACTCAATGCTTTTTTTGCCTCTGTCTTCACGAACAAGATCAGCTCCCAGACTGCTGCGCTGGGCAACACTGCATGGGGAGGAGGTCACCAGCCCTCTGTGAAGAAAGAAGTGGTTCAGGACTATTTAGAAAAGCTGGACGAGCACAAGTCCATGGGGCCGGATTCACTGAATCCGAGAGTGCTGAAGGAGTTGGCGGATGTGATTGCAGAGCCATTGGCCATTATCTTTGAAAACTCATGGCCATCGGGGGAGGTCCCGGACGACTGGAAAAAGGCTAATGTAGTGCCCATCTTTAAAAAAGGGAAGGAGGAGGATCCGGGGAACTACAGGCCAGTCAGCCTCACCTCAGTCCCTGGAAAAATCATGGAGCAGGTCCTCAAGGAATCAATGCTGAAGCACTTCGAGGAGAGGAAAGTGGTCAGGAACAGTCAGCATGGATTCACCAAGGGCAAGTCATGCCTGACTAATCTAATTGCCTTCTATGATGAGATAGCTGGCTCTGTGGATGAGAGGAAAGCAGTGGACTTGTTGTTCCTTGACTTTAGCAAAGCTTTTGATATGGTCTCCCACAGTATTCTTGCCAGCAAGTTAAAGAAGTATGGGCTGAATGAATGGACTATAAGGTGGATAGAAAGCTGGCTAGATCATCAGGTTCAACAGGTAGTGATCAATAACTCCTTGTCTAGTTGGCAGCCGGATCAAGCAGAGTGTCCCAAGGGTCGGTCCTGGGGCCAGTTTTGTTCAATATCTTCATTAATGATCTGGAGGATGGCGTGGATTGCACCCTCAGCAAGTTCACAGATGACACTAAGCTAGGGGGAGAGGTAGGTGTGCTGGAGGGTAGGGATAGGATACAGAGGGACCTAGACAAATTGGAGGATTGGGCCAGAAGAAATCTGATGAGGTTCAACAAGGAAAAGTGCAGAGTCCTGCACTTAGGACGGAAGAATCCCATGCACTCCTACAGACTAGGGACCGAGTAGTTAGGCAGCAGTTCTGCAGAAAAGGACCTAGGGGTTATAATGGATGAGAAGCTGGATATGAGTCAACAGTGTGCCCTTGTTGCTAAGAAGGCCAATGGCATTTTGGGATGTATAAGCAAGGGCATTGCCAGCAGATTGAGGGACGTGATCGTTCCCCTCTATTCGACATTGGTGAGGCCTCATCTGGAGTACTGTGTCCAGTTTTGGGCCCCACACTACAAGAAGGATGTGGAAAAATTGTAAAACGTCTAGCGGAGGGCAACAAAAATGATTAGGGGACTGGAACACATGACTTCTGAGGAGAGGCTGAGGGAACTGAGATTGTTTGCTAAAGTCTCCTGCACAAGAGAAGAATGAGGGGGGATTTGATAGCTGCTTTCAACTTCCTGAAAGGGGATTCCAAAGAGGATGGATCTAGACTGTTCTCAGTGGTAGCAGATGACAGAACGAGGAGTAAGGGTCTCAAGTTGCAGTGGGATGAAGAAGAAGGATGTGGAAAAATTGGAAAGCGTCCAGCAGAGGGCAACAAAAATGATTAGGGGCCTGGAGCACATGACTTATGAGGAGAGGCTGAGGGAACTGGGATTATTTAGTCTGCAGAAGAGAAGAATGAGGGGGGATTTGATAGCTGCTTTCAACTACCTGAAAGGGGGTTCCAAAGAGGATGGATCTAGACTGTTCTCCGTGGTAGCAGATAACAGAACAAGAAGTAATGGTCTCAAGTTGCAGTGGGGGAGGTTTAGGTTGGATATTAGGGAAATCTTTTTTACTAGGAGGGTGGTGAAGCACTGGAATGGGTTACCTAGGGAGGTGATGGAATCTCCTTCCTTAGAGGTTTTTAAGGTCAGGCTTGACAAAGCCCTGGCTGGGATGATTTAGTTGTGGATTGGTCCTGCTTTGAGCAGGGGGTTGGACTAGATGACCTCCTGAGTTCCCTACCAACCCAGATATTCTATGATTCTATGACTGCTATTAGGATTCTGTGTCAAATTCTAGTGTGCACACTTTGTGGAAACACTGGAGAGATTTTAAAGGAGAGCCATAAATATGATCCACACACTAGAAAACAAGCCTTGTGATGTTAAGCTTATGGAGCTCAACTTATTCAGCTTATTGAAGAGAAGGTTGAGAGGTGAGTTGATGACTGTGTATAGCTTGTTGGGGTTTTCGATCTTGCTGATGAAGCCATAATAAGATCCTATGGTTGGAAGTTGAAGTTAGACAAATTCAACCTTGAAAAAAGGTGCAATTTCCTAGCAGCAAGGATAATTGAACACTGGAACTGAATAATTTCTTAGAGTCTTTAAAATCAGGTTAGATATCTTTATAAAATATATGCTTTAACCACAACTGGCCAGATGTATCCAAGCAGGGGGAGTTCATTTTCCTCTGAAAGATCAGAGATTGTCCACAGCTGGAGATGGGGCACTGAATGGCTGAACCAATGCTTTTAGGTAGTACAGATGTCTGACTGGTGGGTCTTGCTCTCATGGCTCAGGGTCTAACTGATTACCAGATTTGGGTTTGGGAAGGAACTTTTTCACAGATCAGATCAGCAGGGACCTTGGGTTTTTTTGTTTGTTTTTGATTTACTTCCTCTGCATGGGGCATGAATAACCTGCTAAGATCATCTAGACATCTTCCACCTAGTTGTTTCTCTGTCATTGCAAGGGCCTTGGTGGCACCTGTGTCTTTCCTGTGGTCTGCCTGTGGTACACAATAGTTTAGTCTTCTGAGGATTGAAATGCTTTGGCCTGACTCAAGTTATTGGGATTAATATAGGGATGTCTGGGTGAAATTTAATGTCCTGTTATATACAGAATGTTAAACTCAACCATCCTTCTATGCTTAAAATCTATGAAATTATGAATTATTAGCATAGTGTTAATTAAATTATCAGTGTTCAAAGTGTACGTACTGCGAACTATACTTCACATACTTTGACAGTAGCTACTGAGGGAAAATTAGTGCACAGATAGTCTCCATATGAATATCCATCATATCCTGGGTATCTTCCACCACTGCAGTACAAAATACAAAAAAAGATATAGAATGTTCTGTTGATATTACACTGCTCTCTACAGCTATATATGCATTCAGTCTAAATAAAAAGAGTGATATATAAACCTATGTTTAGAACGATAAGACGACAATTTATTCTCACCTGTAAATACATCTTCTCATAACATAAATGTCCACCAATCCAGAGTCAGTCACTTACTGACTAAAGTCAGCCCCTCAGAAACAATTGGAAACATCTATGCTGAAATGTATTTCACTGGGAGCAGTGACCATGTTAAAATATTAGCTATTTATGTGACACCATATTCAAATATTAGTCACGCAGTCAGGATAAATATACATTCCATTCTCATATACATAGGGCCAGAACTTAGCTGCTGTGAACTGGTGCAGGTTCCAACTGAGCTATACCAATCTATATTATGTGCTGATCTGGCCCAAATTGTCTTCACTACTGGGGAACTGGTTTACAGTAGTGCAGAAAAAAGGGGCATTGAAACTATTTTCAGAAACATGTCAGTTTAGACAGGCTCATTGTCAACGAATACATTAGAAGCAAGAGGAAGACCAAGGACATGATAGACCTGCTACTCAATGGGGTGTGGGGGGAAGACAATAACAGAAAATGTGGAAATGGAGAAGTACTAAATGACTTTTTTGTTTCAGTTTTCACCAAAATGGTTAGTAGATATTGGATGTCTAACATAGTTTATGCTAGTGAAAATGAGGTGGGATCTGAGGCTAAAATAGGGAAAGAACAAATAAAAAATTACTTAGACAAATTAGATGTCTTCAAGTCAGCAGGGCCTGATGAAATACATCCTAGAATATTCAAGGAGCTGACAGGAGATATCTGAGCCATTAGCGACTAGCTTACTTAGAAAACTCATGGCAGACACAGTGTTCCCTCTAAGCTGTGCGACTGCGCAGCCACACAACAATTCATCAAGTGCCGCGCACTAGATTATTGCAGCTGCATAACAGGGTTGCCAGGTGTCTGGTTTTCAGCCAGAACACCCGGTCAGAAAGGGACCCTGGTGGCTCTGGTCAGCACCATTGACTGGGCCGCTAAAAGTCTGGTTGGTGGTGCAGTGGGGATGGTAGGCTCCTTGCCCAGCTCCGTGCGGCTCCCAGGAAGCAGTCAGCATGTCCCTCCAACTCCTGGCAGAGGGGCAGCCATGGGGGCTCCACGCACTGCAACTGCCCTGAGCGCCAGCTCCGCAGCTCCCCTTGGCCACAGTTCAAACTACAAAGCAATTTATGAAGTGATCAATCCCATTGTTCAGTCCATTTCTAGCAGTCAGGGGTTTTGGGACACCCAGAGCATATGGTTGCATCCCTGACCACCTGAGCTCATAGCCACTGATGGACTTCTCCACCATGAACTTATGTAATTCTTTTTTTAACCCACTTATGCTTTTGGCCTTTGCAACATTCTCTGTCAATGAGTTTCACAGGTTGACTGTGCGTTATATGAAGAAGTGCTTCTTTATGTTTGTTTTAAACCTGCCGTCTATTAATTTCATTGGGTGACCCCTGGTTCGTGTGTTCTGTGAAGGGTTAAACAACACTTCCCTTATTTATTTTGTCCTCACCATTCATGATTTTATAGACCTCTATGATAGTCCCCCTTAGTTGTCTCTTTTTTAAGTTAACCCATCCCAATCTTTCTAATCTTCCCTCATATGGAAGCTGTCCTATACCCTTAATCATTTTTGTTGCCATTCTTTGTACTTTTTCCAATTCTAACATATCTTTTCTGAGATGGAGTGACCAGAACTACAAGTGGTATTCAAGGTGACAGTGTACTACAGACTTATAAAGAGGTATTATGATATTTTCTCACTTATTATCTATCATTTTCCTAATGGTTCCTAAATTTCTACTAGCTTTTTTGACTGCTGCTACACATGAAACAGATGCTTTCAGAGAACTATCCATGATGATTCCAAGATCTCTTTCTTGAGTGGTAACAGCTAATTTAGATCCCAACATTTTGCATGTACGGTTGGAATTATATTTTCCAGTATTTATTACTTTGCATTTATCAGCATTGAATTTCATATGCCATTTTGTTGCCCAGTCACCCAGTTTTGTGAGAGCCCTTTGTAAATCTCCACAGTCAGCTTGTTTTTTAACTATCTTGAGCAGTTTTGTATTATCTGCAAACTTTGCCACCTCACTGTTTATCCGTTTTCCCAGCTTATTTATGAATGAACAACACTGGTCCCTGCACAGATCTTTGGGTGACCTCGTTATTAACCTCTCTCCTCTGTGAAAACTGACTGTTTATTCCTACCCTTTATTTCCTATTTTTTAACCAGTTACCGATCCATGAGAAGACCTTCCCTCTTATCCCATGATTCCTTACTTTGCTTAAGTGTCTTTAGTGGGGACATTGTCAAAGGCTTTCTGAAAGCAAAAGTATGCTATATCCACTAGATCATTTTTGTTTGTTGACCCCCTCAAATAATTCTAATAGCCAGCTGAGGAATGATTTCCCTTTACAAAAAACATGTTGACTCTTCCCCAATAAATCGTGTTCATCTATGTGTCTGATAATTCTATTCTTTACTCTAGGTTCAACCAATTTGCCTGGTACTGAAGTTAGGCTTACAAGCCTGTAATTGCCAGGATTACCCATAGGCCTTTTAAAAAAAATTGGCGTTACATTAGCTATCTTCCAGTCGTCTGATACAGAGGCTGAATTAAGCAATAGATTATACACCACAATTAATTCTGCAATTTCATATTTGAGTTCCTTCAGAACTCTTGGATGAATCTCATCTGTCCTTGTGATTTATTACTGTTTATTGATTTGTTCTAAAACCTTCTCAACTGACACAGCTCCTCAGATTTGTCACCTAAAAAGAATGGCTCAGGTGTGAGAATAATAAAATCATAGGACTGGAAGGGACCTCGAGAGGTCATCTAGTCCAGTCCCCCGCACTGAAGGCAAGACTAAGTATTACCTAGACCATTCTTGATAGGGGTTTATCTAACCAGCTCTTAAAAATCTCTAATGATAGAGATTCCACAACCTCCCTGACAATTTATTCCAGTGCTTAACCACCCTAACAGTTAGTTTTTCCTGATGTCCAACCTATACCTCCCTTGCTGCAATTGCTTTTTGTCCTAACCTCAGAGGTTAAGAACAACAATATTTCTCCCTCCTCCTTGTAACCACCTTTTATGTACTTGAAAACTGTTATGTCCCCTCTCACTCTTCTCTTTTCCAGACTAAACAAACCCAATTTTTTCCATCTTCCCTCATAGGTCATGTTTTCGAGACCTTTAATCATTTTTGTTGCTCTTCTCTGGACTTTCTCCAATTTGTTCACATCTTTCCTGAAATGTGGCACCCAGAACTGGACACAATACTCCAGTTGAGGCCTAATCAGCGCAGAGTAGAGCAGAAGAATTACTTCTCGTGTCTTGCTTACAACACTCCTGCTAATATATCCCAGAATGATGTTTGCTTTTTTTGCAACAGTGTTACACTGTTGAGGCATATTTAGCTTATGGTCCACTGTGACCCCCCCAGATCTTTTTCCACAGTACTCCTTCCTAAGCAGTCATTTCCCATTTTGTACGGGAATCTCCATCACATCCTCTGAAGTGAAGACTGATGCAATGAATTAACTTCTCTGCAACAGCCTCATCTTCCTTGAGTGCTGCTTTAGTACCTCAATTGTCCAGTGGCCCCATTGACTGTTTGGCAGACTTCTTGCTTCTGATGTACTTTAAAAAATTGCTATTAATTTGTGTCTTTTTCTAATTACTCTTCATATTCTTTTTTTGCCTGCCTAATTCTTTTACACTTGATTTGCTGGAGTTTATGCTCCTTTCTATTTTCCTCAGTCGGATTTGACTTCCACTTTTTTTTTACTCTAATTGGCTCTTTTACTCTGCTTAACCAGGGTGGCATTTTTTGGTCCTCTGTTTTTGTTTGTTTTCATTTTGTATATACATTTAATTTGAGCCTCTGTTATGGTGGTTTTTTTTAAAAGTTTCTATGAAGTCTGAAGTCATTTCACTCCTGTTACTGTTCCTTTTAATTTATATTTAACTAGCTTCCTTATTTTTCTGTAGTTCCTCTTTCTGAAGTTAAATGCTACTGTGGTAGACTTTTTTTGGTATTTCTGCCACATCCAAGGTTGTTAAATATAATTACATTATAGTCACCCATTGACAAGCAGTTCAGATAGATTCACCTCTTGGGCCCGGTCCTGTGTGCCACTCAGGACTACATAAAGAATTGCCTCTTTATTGTTGGTTAGAGGATTAGTTGGTCCCAGAAGCAGTCATTTATGGTGTCCAGCAATTTTATCTTTGCATCCCATCCCGGGGTGATATGGAGCCAGTCAATATGCAGAGAGTTGAAATCCCCCCTTAATATTGAGTTTTCTATTTTTGTAGCCTCTCTAATCTCCCTGAGCATTTCACAATCTCCGTTACCATCCTGGTCAGGTGGCTGATAGCATAGTAGTAGGAATGTACTCTTATTATTCAAGGATGAAATTTCTATCCATAGAGATTCTACGGTACTGTTTGATTCATTTAAACACTTATATAAAGTTTGGCAATATTTAATTTTCTGCCTTCATGTGATGTAATTGAATGGGATTCTTTTTCACCTGTTTCTCTTCAGTTCCTACCTATATTTTATCAATGTCTATCCTCTCCTCTTCACTAGGATATAGAGAATCCCTGTTAATTGATTCTCCACTAAGGGATATCTCTGTCTGAATCTTGTAATCCTCTTCCGCAATCAGCTTTCCCTTAGCTCTTAGTTTAAAAACTCCTCTATGACCTTTTCAATTTTACATGCCAGCAGTCTGTATCCATTTTGGATTAGGTGGAGCCCATCCTTCCTGTATAGTCTCCTTCTTTCCCAAAAGGTTACCCAGTTCCTAATAAACCTGAAACCCTCCTCCCTACACCATAGTCTCATGCACTGAGACCCTGCCATTCTGCCTAACTGGCCCTACATGTGGAACTAGAAGCCCTACCTTCCCTATGTCACTAGTACATACATGGGCCATGTGTACCAGCTCCTCTCCAGCACTGCACATGAGTTTGTCTAGATGTCTTGAGAGATTCTCAGCCTTACTACAGCTCCTACAGGAACTAAAAAGAGTGTGTGTGGGTGTGATTAAGGTGATGCACTCAGATTGTAAGCACCTCAGATTGTAAGCACTTGCATATACTGATTCAAAATCAACATACAAAGAAAAGCCTTGTCGAAGGGTTGGAAAAAACTTTGGTCTAATAGGGTCCCACAAGACTGATGGGTGACTCCAGGTGTGTTTAAATCTGTTTATTTTTATTATGCTTTCTCTGTAATGCTTTTACCTTATGTGACGGGGCAAGGCCAGAAGGCTATAGAAAAGTAGTGGGAGATAGATATATTAGCTCCAGGCTAAACAAATCCCTGGTACTAGGATAAGTGAAATGGCACCTGCTCCAGGTCAATTAAGACACCTGGGGCCAATTAAGAACTTTCCAGAAGGCAGGGAGAAGGCTAGGTTGATTGGGACACCTGAAGCCAATCGGGGGTGGCTGAAACTAGTTAAAAGCCTCCCAGTTAGTCAGGTGGGGGTGCATGTCAGGAGCTGTGGGAGGAAGTTGTGCTGTTGGAGAGGCTGAGTAGTACACACCATATCAGGCACAAGAAAGGAGGCCCTGAGGTAAGGGTGAAGTAGAGCTTGAGGAAGTGAGAGCTGCTGTGGGGGAAGTAGCCCAGGGAATTGTACATGTCATGTTTTTAAAAGGTCAGCTACCATAGCTGATACTATTAGAGTCCCTGGGCTGGAGCCTGGAGTAGAGGGTTTGCCCGGGCTTACCCCCCCACTTTGCCTCCTGATTAATCACTGAGACTGGGAGACAATAGAGACTGTGCAAGGAAGGATAACTTCTCCTCACCTCCCTCGCTGGCTTATGATGCAAATGGCTCAGTAGACTGACCCTTGTCTCTAGAGAGAGAAGAGTTATGTGGAGGGTCACAGTGAGCCTCTGAGGCTAGCGAAATACGCCAGGAAACGCGGGACCCACGGAGGCAAGGACAGAGCTTTGTCACATTTAAGAATAAATGTACTTGCTTAAAAAGAACTGTGTGGTTACTTGTAACTGCTGGCAATATACCGTTCATACCCCTCAGATAGAAAGGAAAGCATAGGTGCTGGCTGTTAGGCAGACTGGCTTGCTAGGGATATCACAGTGTAAGGCAGGGAGCTTTGTAGCCTTAAAATCCCCAGTAGGAGGGAGAGACACATGGGTCTCCACCCAAGAAAGGTGGTGGCTGGAAGCCAGAAACTTTAAGTGGGTGCCCTCAAGGAACCACTCATAAGCGGGAATATTGAGTAGTAGTAGAGAGGTTATATAACCTCTGTACTTGGCACTGGGGCAACTGGAATATTTTGTCCAGTTCTGGTGCCCACAATTCAAGAAGGCTGTTGAAAATTAGAGAGGACTCAGACAAGAATTAGGAAAATAATTAAAGGATTGGAAAACATGTTTATATTGAAAGACTGAAGGAGCTCAATCCCTCAAAGACAAGATTATGGGTTTACTTTTATCAGAGGCTATAAGTACCTATATTAGAAACTGAAATTTTAAAATAGGAGGCTCTTCAATCTAGCTGTAAAAGATTCAGTGGCTAGAAGCTGAATTTAGACAAATTTAGACTAGAAATAAGGCATATATTTATAACCAACTTACCATAAATTGTGGTGGATTCTCTATTTTAAAATCAAGACTGGATGTTTTTCTGAAAGATATGCTCTAGTCCAAAAAGGAATTAATTCAGGTAAATCCTGTGTCCGGAGTCATGCAAGTCAGACAAGATGATGACAATGGGTGCTTTTGGATTTAAAAATCTATGGATGTTTGTACAGTTTCTAGAATAAACTGAGATTTTCCAAAGCAAGTGAGAGACTATCAAACTCCCCACGCTCTTAGAGTACATCTACACAGTAATTAGACTTCAGCTGACGCAGGTTCGCAGGGCTTAGGCTGAGGGACTATTAAATTGCAATGTAGATGTTCCAGCTCAGGCTGCAGTCTGAGGTCTGAGATCCTCTCACTTCGCAGGGTCCTAGAGCCTGGACTCCAGTCCAAGCCAAGAAAACTACACTGGAATTAAGCAGTTCCGCAGCCCAAGCCCCATGAGCCCGAGTCGCTGGCACGGGCTAACCATGAGTTTTTAATTGCAGTGTAGACATACACTTTGGGTGCAGAAGCAAGCGAAAACCCAGTACTGAAATGGTCAGCTGGGTTACACCGGAAAATAAGGGATACCTTTTGGGGATATTTTTTCTAGTTTCCAAACAGAATCTTGCAAAATATCTTAAAAATCCTAATTAATAAGTGTAAATCACAGTATTTACATATTTTTACAGATTAAGATAAAAGTCTTACACAATTAATTCCGTGTGGTCAAAATGTACCCGGTGCTGAAGAAAATTTTCAACATAGCTTAAAAAAAATCCAATAACCTGATCCAAAAGGTGAGTAATTGTTATTAGGTCCCTTTCTGTCCAGATCTCTAATCCAACCAGTATAATATGAAGACCAAATGGACGGTACATCTAAAAACATAATATTAAGTATTAAAAAGAAGTCATCTACATGTAAAACTTTGAAGCTATTATCCTTAATAGATCCACATTGTTGGTGTCCCTCCCATGTGTATTTCTGTTGGCATCATCAGTAGCTGCAGGACTCAATTTAAAATAACAATGTTAAAGGGAGGCTTATGGATTTGAAAATCTTATTTCTGGCTGGAAAAACGTTTACATATCATAATTACAAACAACACTCGTAACTACAAAAGCTGAAATAACTTAGAACAATATCTGCTTTTTCATTTCTTTACTTTGTGCATTTGACAGTATTTTGTGTACAGCTTTTCTGTTCTGTTCTGTCGATGGTCACTTGTACTTTCTGCCTCAAGCACGAACATACCATCACTTTCATGCACTGTTCGGGGAATGGGGGGGGGATGGGCTTCACTCACGTGCATATTGTTTAACTGGAACTGAAGAGAGGGTTTACCATTAACAAAATTATGTTGTAGAGAACAATCCAACAATAAGTTGGCAGGAGGCTAAACTCGTGGTGGCTTGATATACTCATGGCAGCTCTATGCTAGACATGCTCCATTGGCACAGCTGCACTGATGCAGCTGCACGGCTGTAGTGCATCTGGTGAAGCTGCTCTATGCTGATGGCGGGGCACTCTCCTGTCGCCATAATTATTCCACCTCCGTGAGAGGCAGAAGCAATGTCAGTGGGAGAGCATCTCCCACCAACATAGTGCCGGCGTGGATAGCTCTTAGGTTGCTGTAACTTGAGTCTTTTTCACACCCTTGAATGACGTAAGTTAGATTGACTTAAGCTGTCGTGTAGACCTGCCCTCAGACTTTAAGGCCAGAAGGGACCGTTATGGTCATCTAGTCTGATCTCCTGCACATTGCAGGCAACAGAAGCCCACCCACCCACTCCTGCCATAGGCTCATAATGTCTGGCTGAGTTACCAAAGTCCTCAAACCGCGATTTAAAGACTACAGAGAATTCACTATTTACTCTAGTTCAAACCAGCAAGTGACCTATGCCCCACGCTGCACAGAAAGGCAAAATCCTGTCAGCACCTCTGCTAATCTATCATGGGGGAAAATTTCTTCCCGTCCCCAAACATGGTAATCAGTTGGGTTCCAGCTCAGGGACACTGAGGAAGTGAGCAAGACCCACTGGCAAGACACCTGGGAAAGAATTCTCTGTAGTAACTCAGACTCCTCTCCATCTAGTGTCCCATAGAATCACAGAATCGTAGGACTGGAAGGGACCTAGAGAAGTTATCTAGTCCAGTCCCCTGAACTTATGGCAGGACTAAGTATTATCTAGAGCATCCTTGACAGGTGTTTGTCTAACCTGCTCTTAAAAACCTCCAATGATGGAGATTCCACAACCTCCTTAGGCAATTTATTCCAGTGTTTAACTACCCTGACAGGCAGAAAGTTTTTCCTAATGTTCAACCTAAACCACCCTTGCTGCAACTGAAGTCCATTGCTTCTTGTCCTATTAATGAGAACAATTTATCTCCTTCCTCCTTGTAACAATCTTTCATGTACTTTTATGTCCCCACTCAGTGTTCTCTTTTCCAGACTAAACAAACCCAATTTCTTCAATCTTTCCTCATAAGTCATGTTTTCTAGACCTTTAATCATTTTTGTTGCTCTTCTCTGGACGAGGCCTAATCAGTGCAGAGTAGATCGGAAGAATCACTTATTGTGTCTTGTTTACCACACTCCTGCTAATACATCCAACCCCTCTCAATTTGGTATCATCCACAAGCTTTATATGTGTTCTCTCTCTGCCATTATCTAAATTATGATGAAGATATTGAACAGAATTGGACCCAGAAATGATCCCTGAGGGACCCCACTTGATATGCCCTTCCAGCTTGACTGTTAACTCTTCTCTGGAAACAGTTTTCCAACAAGTTATGCACCCACCTTATAGTAGCTCCATCTAGGTTGTATTTTCTTGCTATTGGGCTTGCAATTTCATGTGCCAATTCCTTTAATATTTTTGGACAGAGATTTATCCAGACTGCCTGATTTGGGTTTGATTAAGCTGTTGGAATTTGGCTTCCACCTCAGATGTGGTAATTTCTACTTCCATATCCTTGTTCCCATTAGCCACACTGCCCCCAAGCTCCTCATTATTGTTACTAAAAACTGAGGCAAAATATTTGTTTGGGTGTTGGGCCAGACCTAGATTATCTTTAATCTCCACCCTGTCGTTCAGTCCTTAGCAACCCCACTGGGAAGCATAGATCAGTGTTCATGTCCCGCTCCCTGCCAGTATCCAGCCCAGGCTGAGGAAGCTAATGATCCCCAACAGCAGCTCATGCACTCATGATCTGTCTCTTCTTGTGACTCAGCCCTCTGACCAAGTCATTTAAAGCCTCACCCCCTTCCGAGATAACAAAAAGTCCAAATAAAACTTAAGGTCTAATGACTTTAGATTAGGTCTTCAAGCCTGATCTAGGCTCAATATTCCTTGCCTCTTTACTCCTGAGGTTTACACCTCCCCTCCTGCGGGCAGTGGTAAGGGAACCCAGGCTCACCTTCTTCTCTGGGTTCCAGCCCAGGGACCCTGTGTTAAGCAGTTAAGATCTACTTCTTACAATCCATTGGTGCTTCCCTGGGTTGCTTCTATCTTTGCCTGGTTGCAGACATCTTTCACAGAGCTACACTCTAATCCTCTGTCCCCAAAGCTCCATCTCCTTGGTCAGCTTCTTCCCAGTCTGCTGCTGAGGAACTTCCTCAAGGTAACTCTCAGATTCTCTAGTAGGGTTGCCACTGATGCATCCCCAGAATACCGGGAACCCAGGTACTTCCAAAACAGCATAGATCCACCCCTGCCTGCATAATCCCTCCCTGAGACCTTGCATGAACTCACAAAGAGGACACCATTTTGCAGACCATGCCACCCCAGCCTGTCCAGTGCATGTGAGGTCACTCCACATGGAGGATGCCATTTTGCAGAGGGTATCACCCCTCCCTTTACCAGCATGACCTTGCAGGCACCATGCGTGTGAGGTTGTGTTGCACAAAGGATGGTGTGACCTCAGATGCACAGTACATGGAAAGTCATTCCAGCAGTGGCAGAGCAACATGCTCTGGAAAATGACATCTTCTGTGTCATGACCTCACATGCACTGTGCGTGCAAGATCACACTGGCACAGGTGGAGCAGCATGCTCTGATACCAGACAAAACCACATCCAGTACCAGATAGGAACAAACATTACCAAAAACAGGTCCAGCTGGCTTAAAACCAGTTGAATGGCCAGCCTGCTGTTTGGTTGTCTCCCTTTTCTGCCTAAGCTATAGCCTTTTATCACAGCGAATGCTAATTATCCACTTAATCGCAGCTGGAGATGTAACTGATCCATTTATTCACCTCTTCCTGACTGCTACCGTGTGAGATCTAGACACCCCATCACAGATGGACTATATTTTGTTGGTTCTACTCGACGCCAGCAAAAAACAGGAAATTTGATTGCTAAAGGAAAAGGCATAACAGGACATTCCCTTGAATAGGGTAGGTTACTAACCTAGACTAGGTACAATTGGTCAGTCCTAACACTGCGTCAGCCACAGGAGTCCCAAAAATGAGAATAAGGAGAGTAAATAATAACTCACTTCACTTGTTAAATGGATATATTGAAGCATCTTCAATATCACTAAAGTTTCATTGGAATCCTCAAGGCGAAACTAGGAGTGAAAAGAACATTTTAGAATCTCCATCCTGAAGAGAAATTAATTCCATGTGATATCTTTAAACAGTTGCACATTTCATGAAAAATCTTTCCATTAAGTGTGATTCAGACGTATTTGCTTACATATTACTATTTCACTTCTCCCATTACTTTTTATTAACTTACATTTTCCAAGAAAAGGGAGTTATATTCCTGTGATTCTACTTCTCTGAAAATACTCCATCAGGATTTTCACCCTTGGATCTTGACTGAAGAGCTCATTATCAAAAAACTAATGTTCTTGTAGGCAATTATCAACTGTGATCAAATCACCCCTTAACCTTCCTTTTGCTAAACTGAGTAGATTGAGCTCCTTGAGTCTATCACTATAAGGCATGTGGGTTATCCACCACCATCCTTGTTTTCCAGAGTTTTCCAGTCTCCTATAGATGCCGATTCTGAGGGTGTTCCGGGGCTGGAGCACCGACAGGGAAAATACGGTGGGTGCTGAGCACCCATTGGCAGCCCATCAGCTCCCCTCCACCCACCAGTGGCTCCCGCCTGCCGAGGCCCCCACAAATCAGCTCCTCCCTCTCCCTTCCTGTACGTCCTGCCTGACACGATCAGCTGGTTCGCGGGGTGCAGGAGGCTGGGGGAGGGAGGAGCGAGGGCACGGCATCCTCAGGGGTGGGGGCGGAGTGGGGTCAAGAAGAGGCGCGGCAGAGCCTTGGAGGAAGGGGTAGAGTGGGGGCAGGGCCTGGGGCAGAGCCGGGGTTTGAGCACCCCCCAGCACTTTGGAAAATCAGCACCTGTGCAGTCTCCAATTCTGCTAGTTACATTCTTTGCTCCAGAGGTCTGTCTACACTGCAGACTTACCACATTCTTATGTGTTTTAGCCCAAACGCTCCTACCATCCACACACAAAACCATTAGCCACAAGCTTATATGTCCTTTGAACTGATGTTCTATTACACTCCTGGGGTATGGGTAAAAGCATGTGTTTCGTTTTAAGGTGTACGCCTACTTCCTAACTTCGTAATGATCATGGAGCTAAAGTATGTGTAACTGAGTGGGTGTTTGGTTAATCCTCCAATACCATCTCATAATTCCTAGGGCTTGTGCCTTCCACCTCTTCTGTTTACTTCCTTCCTTTTACCCTCCTATGAACGGGTAGCTACCTGCCAGTTTATTTACACTGGTCAGTTAATCTTTCTTTCCACATGACTTGCTCCATTTGCTACAGAGCTCAATCTTCAAGCTGAGCCAAATACATGATGCTTACCCAGCATGCTGCTATCTGGCCAGAGGAGCATGCCAGCGTTCTGGTTAACCTATGGTGTGAGGAAAGCAAGGACCATGATTTTAGAAGAAGCATCAGAAACCTGAAATTATATGTAAGGATCTCAAAGAATTTGATGGAGTGGGGATCAGTTGGACTGCTACCTAGTGCAGGGAGCATATTAAATACCTCAAAACCATCTACTCACAGGCCAAGGATGACAATGGCAGATCCTGGAACTCCCTGACTACTAGCCCCTACTACAAAGAGTTCAAATAGCTGCTTGCCCCCATCCTGAGCTTAGAGCCCACAGTGACTAGCTTCCTAACAGGGATGGTATGATGATTTTCAGACTGAAGGAAGAGGAGATGTGGATAGCACCAGAAGACTGACAGAGGGGGCAGAATAGCAGAAAAAGACCCCAGAACAGACTCTGCAGCAGGAACTAGCACCATACCAGGCCATGCAGAGTGGGCCTGGAGCCATATTCCAAAGAGTTGTTCAGGAATGAGCCTGGGGAACAGCTTGGAGAGGAAGAAGCGATACAGCAGAAACCTGTTGAGGTTTCAAAGAAATCTGATGAGGTTCAATAAGGATAAGTGCAGGGTCCTGCACTTAGGACGGAAGAACCCAATGCACCGCTACAGACTAGGGGCCGAATGGCTCGGCAGCAGTTCTGCGGAAAAGGACCTAGGGGTGACAGTGGACGAGAAGCTGGATATGAGTCAGCAGTGTGCCCTTGTTGCCAAGAAGGCCAATGGCATTTTGGGATGTATAAGTAGGGGCATAGCGAGCAGATCAAGGGACGTGATCATCCCCCTCTATTCGACATTGGTGAGGCCTCATCTGGAGTACTGTGTCCAGTTTTGGGCCCCACACTACAAGAAGGATGTGGATAAATTGGAGAGAGTCCAGCGAAGGGCAACAAATTGATTAGGGGTCTAGAACACATGACTTATGAGGAGAGGCTGAGGGAGCTGGGATTGTTCAGCCTGCAGAAGAGAAGAATGAGGTGGGATTTGATAGCTGCTTTCAACTACCTGAGAGGTGGTTCCAGAGAGGATGGTTCTAGACTATTCTCAGTGGTGGAAGAGGACAGTTGTAGTGGGGGAGGTTTAGGTTGGATATTAGGAAAAACTTTTTCACTAGGAGGGTGGTGAAACACTGGAATGCGTTACCTAGGGAGGTGGTGGAATCTCCTTCCTTAGAAGTTTTTAAGGTCAGGCTTGACAAAGCCCTGGCTGGGATGATTTAATTGGGGATCGGTCCTGCTTTTGAGCAGGGGGTTGGACTAGATGACCTCCTGAGGTCCCTTCCAACCCTGATATTCTATGATTCTATGAACCACAGCTAGAGCCTTGCAAGTGGCACCGATCAACTCTGTTATTATTATAATGTTGGAAATTGCCAGATAAGTGGAAGGGGAGGAAGGAGGGATATCCAGATTCCAACCAATAAAATTATTGTTACACAAAGATTACATTAATGGGGGATGAATTTAGCTTCAATTGAGCGTGGAAGCCACACCTTTTCCCTAGCCCCCCTTTTACCTCCCCAACCAAGACAGATTCCAAATGGGATAAAGATGTAAATAAGCCACTATCAATTCATTTTTTACTATTAAAAAAGGATGAGGACTACAGATTTAGTAATCATTGGTGCATATTTCTGCATATACTGTTCTCTTTGTAACTCTGTCACATTAGTAGATTGCTATAAAATTATACCACTGTTGTAGGCAGTGTTGTTGCAGCTATGTGCGTCCCAGGATATTACAGAAGGTGGGTGAGATATTATTTTATTGGACCAACTTCTCTTGGAATGCTTTCAAGTTTACACAGAGCTTGTTTAAAAGTCTGGGTACATTTCTGGTCTATGTGAGCTCAAAACCTTGTCTCTTTTACAAACAGAAGCTGGTCCAATAAACTTCACGCACCTTGTCTCTATAGAATTATAACACTATTAGCAGTACAGTAGTATGCTTTGGTTGAGAAGTCCCAGTGGCTCTAGTAAGTGGAAAAGTCCCTTGGGGATGGTGACACTGGGCTCCTGGCCCTGTCCATTCGTGGCATGCTATCTGGAGTGTGTGTGTGTGCTGGGGGTGAGATGGAGGAGGCAGAAGAGAGTCAGTCCTGGTGCATCTTACTTCAGCACCATGCCAATGTTTGCCTGGATTTTCTCCCATTGCCGGCAGTTGATGCTTGAAAAGTTTGCACATAAGAGAAATTCTAGATGGTTGGCGAGATTCCTGGGCAAGACAAACTTCCAATGGCCATCCTTGTATTTTAATAGCCTTCTTCTCTAATTGACATGCTCTTCAGTTAGCAGATGATAAAAATAAATTTCCTCTGTATAGATGGAATTCCTCTGCTGGCCTGGAAAAGTTGCTCCCTCTTCCACTCTAGGACCTCCAACAGATTAATATCTTCCCAGGTTTCTCTGGCCTGAAAGAATGTTAAAACCTAATACTGGTAAGAGGCCATGATCTGATTACCCCCACATGCCAAAAGCAGGTCCCAATTAAAAAAAATAAATCAAATTGTCACAACAGTGTATCTTTGGTCTGGATATCTGACTAGCATGAGCATCTGAACAGTCCTGTGTATAAAGATAGAATAAAAGTATACTTAGATGATAAAAGTATTAAACTTTAGCCTTGTCATGATGTTCAACACTAAAAGGGGGAGCGGAAATTTTTTCTTTCTTTCTCTCCATGGACAGAAAATATACTCTTCCATGTTCTTGACAGACCCTCCCACTTCTGCTGAACCAAGGCAAGCACCTGGATCTCTTACAGAGAGGACTCTCAACCAGTACAGGAAAAGGCTCAGATGAACTGCTGCACGACAATGTGGACAAGTCAGATGAACAACTGTACTATCGCCAAGGGAACGAGGATCAGAACATGTAGAGCATGTAGCATCAAGAATCCCAACACTGCCATGGATTAATTGCCCAACAAGACCATCACCATTGCTTTCTGAAGGACAGAAACTGCTGCTGAAATGCCCACCACTGGCTCACAGAAATGACAACACAGCTGCAAGCAAAAACAGCTCTTCCACAGGTACTATATCCATGGCTTGCCACTGGCTGGGATTCACATATAATGCCAAGCTTACATAGTGCCTCCAGGACCCAAGCTTTATTGGTGATAGGTCCATGTGTTAGGAAGTCATGGCATATAGCGGAAGAACTCAGCTGCACGTGCTCAGAGCCAGGAATCTGATTACAGGTAGGACATCTCCTCTAAAAAAAAAAAGTTGCTAATGAGCATCACTCCTGTGGCTAATATCTGAATCCCACTAACACTGATGTTAATGGGACAGGACTGGTTCCTGGCAAAATGTTGCCTTTAACCTGAAGTTGCTATTATCACAATTACTATTAAGAAGCATCCACTATAGGAGTACAAGATGTACTGGTGCAGAACTGATATCCAAATAGGTGACAGGTTTCAGAGGAACAGCCGTGTTAGTCTGTATTCGCAAAAAGAAAAGGAGTACTTGTGGCACCTTAGAGACTAACCAATTTATTTGAGCATGAGCTTTCGTGAGCTACAGCTCACTTCATCAGATGTTTACCATGGAAACTGCAGCAGACTTTATATACACATGTCTGTCTGTATCTGTACAAGTTTCTTCATGCAGTTGATAGATTTCCACACCATACGGCTAAATGCAGTGCCTTGCATAATGACAGGTTTCAGAGGAACAGCCGTGTTAGTCTGTATTCGCAAAAAGAAAAGGAGTACTTGTGGCACCTTAGAGACTAACCAATTTATTTGAGCATGAGCTTTCGTGAGCTACAGCTCACTTCATCAGATGTTTACCATGGAAACTGCAGCTCACGAAAGCTCATGCTCAAATAAATTGGTTAGTCTCTAAGGTGCCACAAGTACTCCTTTTCTTTTTGCGAATACAGACTAACACGGCTGTTCCTCTGAAACCTGTCATTATGCAAGGCACTGCATTTAGCCGTATGGAGTGGAAATCTATCAACTGCATGAAGAAACTTGTACAGATACAGACAGACATGTGTATATAAAGTCTGCTGCAGTTTCCATGGTAAACATCTGATGAAGTGAGCTGTAGCTCACGAAAGCTCATGCTCAAATAAATTGGTTAGTCTCTAAGGTGCCACAAGTACTCCTTTTCTTTTTTCCAAATAGGTGAGTCTGTTGAGTTTATTTCAGAGCATATTCTTGAGGCACTATTTAAGACCCCTTCCTTAATCTCAAAGCAGATCGATCCAGCCTTAACCAGCACCATTTTCACACAGGCTGAACAGCTGCAACTATAACCAGTGACAATTACATTTCATGGACACACAAATTATGTCAGTGAACTTTCATCAACTGAAGAGTATATTTACATTTCTAACCAATGACTAAGGAGAATGGTTCACATCCTGATCTATAAATCAAACTTCAATGTTTCATATATATTTCTATTGGGAGATTTAAGTACAGAAGGATTACTACTAAAATAGTTTTAATGTATCAAATTACAATTAGCACAAAGCACTATCGCTATAATTTGATGAGACTTACCTTGGCTTTGTCTGCTACAAAATAACATTCTAAGTATCTGGAAGATGTGTACGAAGGGCTTAGTCCATCTTTCTGGAAGTGAAGATATGTAAAGCAGGGTTATGTAAAGTAAATTCAGGTGTTTTACCTGTATGAAGAGTCATAGAAATACAGCTCTGAACCATACTCTCCTGTATTACACAATTCACCCCATGGGAACATCTCACAGAAATATAATTCAATACAATTCTGCAGAATAACATTGTCATGGCACCTACAATATGAATTTGAATAGAACTGCACAAAACTAACTGACAACACTGAGTATGTAATACTGTAAAAATAATTTTTCTTTGCCATAGGGCTTCTCTAGAGCAGTGGTTGTTCACATTTTTTTCAGTGGGGAAACAAAACCATCTGCATTTTCTTGCTGTAACCCACCCAATCCCACAATCTTTTTGTGCAGCAAAGGATTTAGGTCAAAATAAGAAGTAGTTCTTTTGGTCCCAGGGCTGTTGCTGGGTATGGACAAGCTTCTCACTTCTTTTTTTCCTGCAACACTTGGTTTCAGTGAAGTTGGGCTTTAAGAGGCTGTGAACTGCTCATGACAGTTTACCAGTCATGGAATTTTATATATTTCCACCTCACCACACCTGGAGGGCTGTCATTGAAAAGGCACGCACAGTTGATCTGCCTCTGCTGGAGACAAGAGCCCCAGATCTATTTCTCTCCAATGTAAGTTGAAGGGCTCCATTTGTTAACATCATAGACTACTTGAATGCAATCAGCAATCCATCCTGAACACTTCTGAGCTGAAACTGATTGTTCTTTTGATATGCAACCAAATGCCACAAAGAGTGATTGATTTGCAGGTGGGTTTTGTTTTGATAAAGTGGTACAAACGTGTTCTTTAATATGAAAAATATGAAGCTTTGCTTCCCCTGCAGATGAATGAGTTCTTAGGGAAAAAACACTGATAAGTGGAGGTATTGGTTGATGTCAAAGTCTGAGACCCCCTTCAGAATGAAAATAAGGACATGGTCTCATTGTCATTCTGTCCACAATAAAGACAATATATGGAGAATTTGACGTGAATTGTATATCTTGCTTATTCTATGAGAAAAAGTAAAGGCTACTAGGAATACAGTTGTCACTGATCACGGATGTAACAAACAAGATGACAGGCTCATAGGGTGGAACAATCTATTTTGAGAGAATCAAATTTAGGTGCCATGGGAGAGGTATCCAATTTATGGGTGGAAAAACTTATGTTAAACAATTTAAAAGTCTGTTAACTGTCTGGTGGGGAAAAAGAGAAGTTCCTTGTTCTGGTGGATGACAGGCCAACATTGCTGCTAAATGGGAAACTGAACTTTTGGGAACTTAACAACAAACCTGATATCTTTAAAGATAATAAATAGCACAAAAATCATGAGAACAGGAGCTTAGATCAGAACACAACTATGACTGGATGCCAACTGTTAGAAAGCTTATTCCTTCGCTCTCCCACTTCCCTGGTCCTTCTTGCATGAACAGAGAACAACAATACCCAAAGTCCGAAGGTGCAAACAATTCAACGTTTATTGGAGTGAACCTCCAGCAAGCTTAAATCCAAGTTCCTTTTTCCTTATTTTCAAATCCCAACTTACTTCCTGTTTGCCCCTAATTTATATAGTAATATTCTTAGCTATACCTTAACCAATCATTCTACTGAAATTTACCTAACCAATCCTAACATATTGTAACATGATTAGCTAACCAATTATATCCCACCATCTTAATTAGTTTATACCCAGCAAAATTAATTATACAGCAGACAGAAACAATCACAGAACCAGACAGAGACCATGCAAATAAACAATAGCAAAGTGGGAACTATAATGACAAAAGAATACAGAAGTGAGGATTTCACAACTACATCTATAAAGACATAAGGGTTTCCCAGCTGTGTCTATTGATAAGTGAGTTCTTACCAGACAGAAAACTATCAACTTAAATTTCCTTTTACATCTTCTAGGCTCTTCCCTTTCTCTGGAGGTGATAGATCGGATCACCTTCCTAACAGCCCCATATTGACTAGCTTGGAATGTGAGGATCTGACCGTACGATTCCCAGCTTATGGCTGCCTCTGCTGCTTAGCCAAAGGCATTGGCCTAAGAACAGGGCCTCAGACTGTCACAGTGAGAGAAGGCCCTTACACAGATTCTTTCTTGTATACCTCTATTACTAGCTAAAAGATAAACATATACCTACATTCTTAAAGTGTAGGCCTGACAGGCAGGCCTGAATATCTATATCCTAACACCAACAAGGAAAAATGCTTCCATTTATCCACGTATGTTCTTCTAGTTGCTTTCACGCTCTGTAATACAATATTTTGAATGTCCAAGAAGCAGCTCTTGTCCAAAGAAGTCAACCATGCAACATCCACGCCGTCAGGCAGAGGGATACTGACTCTGGATGAAGGATTAAATCATGATTCTGAGAGATTATGTCCTTCTGTGGTGATGATGTTTATGAAGCCACAGTTGAATAGATGTATAAGGTCTGAATACCAGAACTGGTGTGGGCATGCCGGAGCTATCACAAGACCGGCAGGTAATTGCCTCTGATGACGCATCACACTCTTTGGCTCAGGGATGACTCACTGGGCTTAAGTAGGCACAGGCCCAAAGGTAACTCAGAAATGACTCATCACAGTCACAGCGGGGAGAGCCAATGAGAATGGGACTCTCTCGCACACGTTGTCTTGGTTTATCTACCAGTTCAAAGATGACAATACCCTGGCTGGATGCATACTAACTAGTCCAGATGGTGTATCTGAGGGGAGTAGACTGATCTGAGCCATGCCTACATACCTCAGAGATGGAGTCTGGCATGCGGGGCGGAAGTAGCAGCCATGTGCCCAGGAGCCTTAGGCAATTCTGCCTGTGGTTTGTGGCTGACCTTTGAACATCGCACAAAGGTCCTGTATAGCTCAAAACATAGGTAAGAGCACATAAGCCTTGGCTGAGGTCAGGTCCAGGACCACCCCAATGAACTCTATTCTTTGGAGTGGTGACAGGAATGATTTTTCTCTATTTATTTTCAGGTGTATAAAGGTGAACAGATAGAGTCTACGGGATATTGCTCTTCACCTGATGACTGGAGTGACCCCATAGCAACCATGAACGTCTCAACAGCAGAGTTAGGCTGCTACAACTGCCATGCACTAGGTGAAAACCCTTGGTGCTGATGATAGTTCAAAGGGTAGTATGGGTAACTGTTAATGATGTCCTCTGATCATGTACCTGAGGAGCCTTCTGTGGCCAGGGCTGATTGCCCCATGGAAGTAGGCATCCTGCAAGTTGAGGACAGTATGCCAGTCACCCAAATCTAGAGAAGAGATAAAGGGTAGAAAGGGTAACTATATGAAACATTAACTTTTTGAGTGTGAGGGTTCGTCCTGAGATCTAACGCCAGCCCAAGATGAGTGGGGGGCAATCTCCACAGCTGTGGGAAACAGGGACTGGAGAACAGAGTCCTAATTTCACTTGCCTGCTCCCAATGCACTCCCCCACTTCAGTCCATAGGTCAAGAACACACCAAGAGGAAAAGGAGAAAGAAAGGTGGGAAAGATTAACTGCAACACTAACTCTACTCTCCGTTCTACCCCAGAATCTCAGGCCTTCCCTATGTGAAACCCAAACAGAGGGGGAAAAGTGAGCTCTTTCTGCAAGATGGAAGCAGAATATTGGGCTTTTTCTAATCCTGACCAAAGGGTGACAACATTTCTAGAAAGCATAGATGACAACATTTCTAGAAAGAAATCAGCAAAGAGAAATAGAGCTGGAACTTCTACTTCAGCAGAGACAGATCAACTGGGGCATTTAGGCACACAGGTTTAGCATAGATTCCATGATTCTGACAAATTGCTTTTGTCACAATCAGACAGGAATGATTTTAGTTTCCAGACTTATAGATGGACAAACTATGGAAGAAGAGATTTATTTTGAGAATTTCCAGCAGAGGTGAGCTCACTTCTAACAATGAGTTTGAAAGATGGGTCTAACACGCATACTTTGTAAGTTCTCCATAATATCAATTTACTTTACGTGAATCTATATAGAACACTTACACCTATTACAAGCTGTTTCTCAGTTTGAATCTCAGGTATTTGATGTTCTCTGTTTTCAGCTGCTCCATCTTTGATATCTTCATCAATTACTCCACACCGACCAGGTGAGTCTTCTTCAGCCATCATTCGATATATAATGTGTTGAAACGTAGAGGAAGATTTAACAGGTTCAATTTCATAGTTTAAATCATAAACCTTCAAATGTCCCCTGAGAATTGCAAAATTGAAGTGTGATTAAGGGGCTCAAAACTGAAAAGTTTCTTAAGAGATGTACATAAATATTAGAGTTGGTCAGAAATTTTTCATCTCAATTATTTTTGATGTATAATGCAGTTTTTGAAATATTGAAATTTCCCCTCTTCCTTCCTGAAAGAAAAGTGCTATAGGGGAAAATCATTTTCAATTAACAATCTAATACAAATGTTCTTGGTAACACAGCTACTCTGGAGAGGCAACAATTAAGAGCTTGAAGAGTCCCAAGTGATCACCATGCCACAGTTCAGTCATCACTGCACTACATTCTGTTTTACAATCTATAAAATAAAAAAAGAAAATAAGATTACAGACTTTTGAATCTAGCCCTATGGAATGACCCTTATGAACTAGTTTGCATGAAATCTGCATTCGGAAAAGAAGGCACTAAAAAATGATTCTGTTATGTTAAATCTACATTCCCGTCTCAGAAGAAAGTAATTCACATTGTTTACAATCTAACCAAATGAGGGGCCAACATTACCAGAGCCCAGAGCAGGTGCTGAGAACTGCAACAGATTCTGGCACATCCTCCACATATCCAGAGTAGTAGCAATCATCCTGCAAGGTCCAAAAAAATGTTTTTCTTCTCTACCATTAATTGCAGTCAAATAGAACAACAGACACTAGTTACACAAAATTAAAGATACACAACACGACAAAACTCTTTTGCATCTGCTCTCAAAATGTGGTTCTAAGATGAAAAGTGACCATATATAAATGGCACCTTTTCACGCAGCAGATCTATTTGTGTGTGCACTCAGAGTTAGTTCTGCTGACTTTGGTAGCAAAACCACGTTTTGCTACTTTTTACTCATGTTAACCATGCAGAGACAATGCAGCTGAAACGGAGTGAGCTTCAAAAGGGAGGTTCTCTTATATTGCACCTTTCACACAACAAATTCCTATCTACCTTACTATTCACACTTCTGCAGCCTTAGCATCAACAACTAGCTGAAGGCTGCTGTTTGCAGTACATGATGGAAATGATATTAATTTTTCTCATTTAGTGCAGTCTAGGGAAGGTAAAGGAAAAGGGATGAAGCAGCCTCAATTTAACACCCAAACTACATAATCTTGCTTTATCTAGTATTTCAAATAGCTGAGAAAAAAGTACTGATTCATATGGAAATCTGACACCATATGTAACAAGGATGATATATACAAGTGCTGGCAAGAAACAGAAGTTAAAAGCCTTACTTGTGTATTTTCTTCCTCAGACCCTCCATGTCCGGACAATGGCCTGTTCCCCTTTTCCCTAATACTGGAGGCAGACCAACTCCAGAACAATATCATTTCTTCCACTTGAGAAGACAACTGCGTAAAAGTTAAAGTATTATCTGGCTCCGTTCATTTACAACAAAGCCTTGATAAGAAGAATCCCCAAATCTCTTAAGAAAATAAAGCATTCTTCTCTTTCAAATTACTTAAATGAATGATCCTTGAAGGGGGAATCAAATTGTCAGACATGGGGGATCTTAGAAAGGATATTCACAAGCAGGACTGAAGTTTCCTATTCATGTATTTGTATTACAGTACATAATAATTGGGGCTTATTAGGACTACTCCAATATGAAAAGTACACTAGAGTATAGATCAGTGGTGGGCAACCTGCAGCCTGCACGCTGCACACGGCAAGTCAGGGTAATCCACTGGCAGGCCACCAAACAGTTTGTTTACATTTGCACGGCCACCTGCAGCTCTAGTGGCCAGGGTTCGCGGTTCTCGGCCAATGGGAGCTGCAGAAAGCAGCGCGGGCCACAGGGACATACTGGCCACTGCTTCCTGTGGCTCCCATTGGCCGGGAACAACGAACCGCAGCCACTGGGAGCTGCGGGCAGCTGTGCAAATGTAAACAAACTGTTTGGCAGCCTGCCAGTGGATTACTCTGATGGGCCACAGGTTGCCCACCACTGGTATAGATCATATAAAACAGTAAATACTGCTCACATGTAACTGCCATATTTTCCTCACCACTCCAGGGTATTCTTTGGGCTTGGGTTGTCCAGAGTTCTTGGACCATCTGGGCTTAACAAAGAAGACAGAGCCCCCCCTTGTTCTCTTGCCCCCAAAGCCTCCTCCCTGTCTGTCTCTCTCTGTTTCTGTGCGGCTCATTATTTAAAACCCTCCACTCCCTTCCTTTATTCTGTCTTTTGGATAACTTTCCTCTCTCCTTCTTTCCCTGTTCCCTTCAGACTCAGCTAAACTGCTTTTCTAAGGATGCAGCTCACCCATTGTTCAGGTGTTTGCGCCTGAATAGGGTAACTGAGGCCTAAGCACTGCCCCATCATATCTGTATGGTGTATACCTTCCTGTCATCAATGGTGAATCCACAGACATTAACACACTCATGATACAGCCGTTTTTCATAATACAACTTTTCAATATCAACCAGAATTCATAAGCTGTACAGACATAGGCCCAATTCATTACATTTCTCATTTATAAAAAATAATAAAACAAAACAAAACCATACACATCAGGAGTACCTCACCAGTATTCCCAAGATGTGCTGGCACCCCACCTTTAGACAGAGCATCTGCTGTTACTACTTATTAATTCAAACTTAATATATTAACTCAGTTATTAAACAATTCCAATGATTGTATCAAAATACAAATTTCAGGAAATCACAGATCAGCTCTTACCTAACTTGCACAAATCTCCTCCCTCATTATTCCATGGAAGAGGTAACTACGGTTAGAGTTGCTGAGCTCCCATATGCTCATTACCCCAATATGTCTGATTGGTTGGGGTCGCCACAAAAGCCTGGGGTTTTTGTAGGGTGAGTCTTAACACTGTAGCACTTCAGTCAGAAGACTCATACCTGTCCCAGGGTGAGGTGGTATCTACACACTGTTCTCTGAGCCCAATCCCCTTCTTCACACCTCCTGGAGAGAGTTGAAGTGTTACCCTCCTCCGTTCCCCTACATTTAATTACATCATGACTGAACAAGCTGAAGCCAGAGATTCACAGATTCCAAAGCCAGAAGGGACAACTGTGATCATCTAGGCTGAACTCCTGTATAACACAGACTAGAGAACTTTCCCAAAATAATTCCTAGGCAGATTTTTTTAGAAAAACATGCAGTCTTGATTTAAAAATTGCCAGAGATGGAGAATCTACCACAAGCCCTGGTAAGTTGTTCCAATGATTAATTACTCTGACTGTTAATACTTTACATTTCAAATGCTTTAACTGTTCTTTCCTTATCTATATCTTTAATAAAGGTTAAAATGATGTTTTAATTGTGTGTTTGTCATGGGATTAAGCAGGCCAATGTGTCTGTATTGTATTCCAAACCCCAAGGTTTAACTGTATAATGTTGAACAGTGATAGGGTCACAGTAACACCTTTGATTCTCTGGGCACATTTATTCCATCTAAATTAACACCACAGCACTATACAAAAATATAGTAAGAGACAGTTTCTGCCCTCAAGAGCTTACATTCTGAAGACAAGATGGACAAATCGGTGGGTGGAGAATCAGAGGCAGAGAGATGTAAAGTGACTTTCCCAATGCCACACAAGTCAGATAAATTTGAGAACTGAACCCAGGCCTCAGTCCCACTCCAGTGAATTATCTACTGAAGTGTATTGCCTCCTTTGCTCTCTCCCCTCCATGTTTGATTGGGATGTAGAAAGCAGTAAATCATCCCTAGAGAGGAAGGAAGATTCAGCTTAACTATGTACATGTTGGAAAGAAAATAAAGGATTTCTGAGGCACTGTATGCTGTAGTGCCCATCTACCAACAACGCATGTGAGATATGTGGATGTCAACCTTATGTCTCTAGCCTCACTGGCTACTGCAGTATCTCTTCTGACTGGCTCCTGAATGGTGAATTTAAGTTTACTGCCAGCAACAATTTTAGCCACTTCTACTTCTCACTTCCTTCGGCTGAAGTTAAAGAGCACCAAAGCTTACATAAAAAAAGGACAAAATACCAACAAACCAAAGAAAAGGGGGCTGTCAAACTATTGAAAGTGAGTGTTTTTTAGAGTGTCCTTGTTCGATTTCCTTCCTTCAGGCACAATCAATCCTCCTCTCAATGAGGTCAACAGGAGTTCGACCAATGACTTCAATGGGAAAAAGATTGGTCCCTTCCCACCATCCCACTCTCCCACTCCACTTCCTGCTACAAGTCAGCACAGCTCTTGTCCTTGCAGTAACTATTCTTTTGTGACTACATTTATTATATATTTGGAAAAGGACTCTCTAAACATTTGAACAGAAGAATGTAGGAACATAAGAATGGCCGTACTGGGTCAGACCAATGGTCCATCTAGCTGGGCATGAGGACAGAGAGTAGGAAGGACAAAAAAGGGTTTTTAAACTTTTATTTTTTTAAATTATTTTAAACCTTTCACTAGTTTGACAGCTCATTTTCTACAGGTTATCCCCTCTTTCATTTAGAATTTTGCTAATGAATTCAAAGATTTAGTATTTTACCTCAGGGTTTTTAACCAATATTTAGGGATATAAATATCACTCTTCAGCCCAGGACATGGTTGTCTCAATGCACAGAATACACCCTCAAGTTATAACCCAATTAAAAAAACCACGAATTTGCTATCAAAATTGACACTTTCATACATCCAATCTTTAGAGCATGGCAGCTTAATTTTACTCAGTATTGTATCCTCTTAGGTACATTTCTCACACTTACCCGTATATATGGATAATCTGTTATCAAGTCTCCCTTCTGATTGTAAGTAAAAACTGGGAAATTTGGAGCTATGAACATTCTGAAAATAAAGATTACAAAAACCTAAAATTAGAAATTCAAAAGCATAGGACCTGCTGCTTTCAGTCTTGATGTATATGATTTGTTGGTTACATGTGGTCTAAGGACTAGATCCTCAAAGGTATTTAGGCACCTAGCTCCCACTGAAATAAATGGGATTTAGTCATATCTTTGAGGCTCTAGGTCTATGTCAGGGCCCAATACATTCTGTAGCTGTGAATTTGCTGTAGAATTCACTTCTTGCCACAGAGCTGTGCTCTAAAATCTCATCATTCATTACAAAAATATTTCTAGCCCTTGTGGTAGTGAAGAAAATAATGTGAACTGAACTGCAGAGATCCCATTATTCCCATTTTACAGATTAGTCTGGGAGCACATGTAATTGCATGGGCAAATTAATGATAAAGAAGTAAAAGAGGTGTCATTTGATTAATAAAAAACTACAGAATCATTATTTCAGCCACACCCTTCTGTGGTATGGCAGAGGTGATTGCTTCTCACCACCCTGGCTCCCAGGTCCCCCAGTTGGTGAAAATTTTGATAACACAATGTCATTGGAAATAGGTCAAGTTGGGTATCATTCAAAAGCCCCTTCTCTCACAAGCACAATGGTTCCAAACATGACAAACCTAGAATGATTAAGTAGCTGACAGGAGATTTTTGGTTAAATAAATTAAGAGCTTCTCTCCAGGCACAGAGTGAAGTTGCCCATACCTACAGCTACATGCCAAACAGAGAAACCAAGGCAATAAGAGATGGTGTGACATTTTATAACCTTAGCTCTGAACAATAGCTCTGGGAAGGAGTGTTTGTGTGGACTCATGGGCGCTGCTTTTCTAGGAGGTTCAAAAAGCTCAGCAGCACTAAGAAGCTTACATCCTACAAGTGCTGACATGGATTCATCACCTCAAAGAGGAGCGTCTTGTTCTTTCAGAGTAGCAGCCGTGTTAGTCTGTATCCGCAAAAAGACAAGGAGGACTTGTGGCACCTTAGAGACTAACAAATTTATTTGAGCATAAGCTTTTGTGAGCTACAGCTCACTTCATCGGATGCATTCAGTGGAAAATACAGTGGGGAGATTTATATACACACAGAACATGAAACAACGGGTGTTACCATACACACTGTAACCAGAGTAATCACTTAAGGTGAGCTATTACCAGCAGGAGAGCGGGGGGTGGGGTGGGGGGACCTTTTGTAATGATAATCAAGGTGGGCCATTTCCAGCAGTTGACAAGAACGTCTGAGGAACAATGGGGGGTGGGGGGGGAATAAACATGTGGAAATAGTTTTACTTTGTGTAATGACCCATCCACTCCCAGTCTTTATTCAAGCCTAAGTTAATTGTATCCAGTTTGCAAATTAATTCCAATTCAGCAGTCTTCTCCTTGGAGTCTGTTTTTGACCCATCACTTTCACAGATCTTGGGAGACAGGGCAGTCCTTGCTTACAGACAGCCCTGCAACCTGAAGCAAATAATCACCAGCAACCACACACCACACAACAGAACCACTAACCCAGGAACCTATCCTTGCAACAAAGCCCGTTGCCCACTGCGTCCACATATCTATTCAGGGGACACCATCATAGGGCCTAATCACATCAGCCACACTATCAGAGGCTCGTTCACCTGCACATCTACCAATGTGATATATGCCATCACATGCCAGCAATGCCCCTCTGCCATGTACATTGGTCAAACTGGACAGTCTCTACATAAAAGAATAAATGGACACAAATCAGACGTCAAGAATTATAACATTAAAAAACCAGTCGGAGAACACTTCGATCTCTTTGGTCACTCGATTACAGACCTAAAAGTGGCAATTCTTCAGCAAAAAAACTTCAATAACAGACTCCAAGGAGAGACTGCTGAATTGGAATTAATTTGCAAACTGGATACAATTAACTTAGGCTTGAATAGAGACTGGGAGTGGATGGGTCATTACACAAAGTAAAACTATTCCCCCCCCTTCCCTCCCCCGTTCCTCAGATGTTCTTGTCAACTGCTGGAAATGGCCCACCTTGATTATCACTACAAAAGGTTCCCCCCCCCCCCCGCTCTCCTGCTGGTAATAGCTCACCTTACCGGATCACGCTCCTTACAGTGTGTATGGTAACACCCATTGTTTCATGTTCTCTGCGTATATAAATCTCCCCACTGTATTTTCCACTGAATGCATCCGATGAAGTGAGCTGTAGCTCATGAAAGCTTATGCTCAAATAAATTGGTTAGTCTCTAAGGTGCCACAAGTCCTCCTTTTCTTTTTGCATCTTGTTTGTAGCTCTCATCTCTCTGAAATATATTAATTGAAATAATAGAAATGTAAGGCTGGAAGGGGCCTCAAAAGGCCATCTAATTCAGCCTCCTGCACTGAGGCAGAACCAAGTAAACCTAGACCATCCCTGCCAAAAACCTTCAATGACGGAATCTACAACCTCCCTTGGAAGCCTATTCCAGTGCTTGACTATCCTTATAGTTAGAATGTTTTTCCTAATAGCTAACCTAAATCTCCCTTGCTGAAAATTAAGCCCATTACTTCTTGTCCTACCTTCAGCAGACATGAAGAACAAATGATCCCTGTCCTCTTTATAACACCCTTAACATATTTGAAGACTTACCAGGTCTCCCCTCAGTCTTCTTTTCTCAAGACTAAACATGCCTAGAGTTTTTAACTTTTTCTCTTAGGTCATGTTTTCTACACCTTTTATCAATTTTATTGCTCTTCTCCAGATTCTCTCCAATTTGTCCCCACCTTTCCAAAATGTGGCACCCAGAACTGGACACAGTACTCCATCTGAGGCCTCACCAGTGCCAACTAGAGAGAGAAAATTACCTCCCGTGCCTTACACATGACACTCCTGTTCATACATCTTGAATGTATTAGCCTTTTTTGCAACAGCATTACATTGTTTACTCATATTCAATTTGTGATCCACTAAAACCACCAGATCCTTTCCACTACTGCCCAGCCAGTTATTCCCCATTTTGTAGGTGTGCATTTGATTTTCCATTCCCAAGTATAGTACTTTGTCCTTGTCTTTACTAAATTTCATCTTGTTGATTTCGATCAGTTCTCTAATTTGTTGAGGTAATTTTTTTCCTGCTCCCAATGTATTTATAAACTTTCTTCTTATTCCCTTGTATGTCCCTTGCTAGGTGTAACTCATTTTGTATCTTAGCCTTTCTAATTTTATCCATGTTTCCAATTTTACTAGGATTCTTTTTTTATTTTAATTGTGTCTTTTTAATTCTCCAGTGTGTTTCAAAACTTCCCAAAATATCCTTTCTGGCAGACGATTACACATGTGTAGAATTTCATGTGCATTGGTTTGCTCTTGGCAAAGTTAGAAAGTATGTAAAAAAATCAAGCTTATAAAATGGAAATTTAGCTTTAACTTTAAAACATGGAAACACTTGACCCGCTATAATTATTACTCCTTTAACTGCTTCCCATATAAGCAGTTTTCTTTGCATCCCTTTCCTCCTACTTTACCATTTCAGTTATTTCTCCATATCTAGACTGACAGATTCTGGGGAAAGGAACTTTTGTCTTCATACTTTATTATAAAGCCCCACATACACCTATTTCTCTATAAAAAGAGCAGATGAAAGGTTTGGAAGAGAGCAGTTACTTACTTCTTCTGTAACAGGTGAACAATATGGTGTTTTCCTTCTACTCTAATAAGATAAGACACCTCCCCCTAGAGCATTCAAATAAAAAAACATAATTTAATAGTATCATAAAACTCATACTAATCAATCCCTATACGATATTGCATTTTATGAAAATTGTATCCACTACGTTTCCTCAGACTGTGTTCAGAGAAGGTATCTTTCTTCCATCTAAGAACCCTCTGTACTAGGGAAGTTTTCTAAATACTTCCCAAAGCTGTAACATTGGTTCAGCTGGATCACTGTTAGCAGTATTGGGATCCCTTGTATAAATCGACTTCCCATGGTAACAACAGTATTTAACTTTAGGATCCTGTGACAAGGGGGTGGGGCTTACTGAGAGAAAACAGGGGTTTCAAAAGTCAGCTCCTAAGCGACCAGGGAAGATTTGTGAGGGAGTTTAGAGAGGGAGAAGGAGAGCCAGGTACACCTAATGAACATTCTCTAAATTTAGGCCAATACCACCCCAGCGCACCCCACCCCCTAAAACCTCAGCAAGAGTAAAAATAATGCAAGCAGAAGTCCAGCAGCAGAGTGGGGACTATCCAGTTTATTACAATAAATGCACCGTGTACAATGACTTGCTTTGTGGGCAAGGAGGCATGAGTGCATTCAGGCAAGCAACTCATGGCTCTCAGAGACTAAGTATTGGCTCTTGAGATAAGTGGCTGAACTAGAGGAGCTAAGGGAGACAGATAGGTACATAGATGAGCCTTTCCAGAACATGGCAGAGCAGTCTCATTCCCAGTCTGATAGCCTCTGTGCTGTTGAGGAGGATGAAGGTCCTCGGTAAGGAGAACATTATGCTGGAGCAGAAGGAAACGACCCAATAGTTGGAACCCTCCTTCCAGATGATGTGATGACTGGGAGAACTACATGGTGGATTGCCTGCTGGGCACAAAGGATGCATCCTCTCAAGACATCTAGGTAGACTTATGTGTAGTACTGCGAAAGAGTCAGTGGTTGTGGTACGTGTAGATACCAATGATATGGGGAAAGGCAGGAGAGAGGTCTTGGAAGCCAAATTTAGGCTGCTAGATAAGAGATTAAAGTCCAGGACCTGCAAGGTGGCATTTTCTGAAATGTTTCTAGTTCCATACACCGGACCAGTTAGACAGGCACAACTGCAGGGTCTCAATGTGTCGATAAGACAATAGTGTAGGGAGGAGGGATTTAGGTTTATTAGGAACTGGGGAACCTTTTGGGAAAGGAGGAGTCTATAGAGGAAGGATGGGAACCACCTAAACCAAAATGGAATCAGATTGCTGGCATGTAAACTTAAAAAGATTGTAGAGGAGTTTTTAAATAAGGGCTGGCAGAAAGGCAACAATTGTGGAGGAGAACACAGTTCAGATTGAGCCATCCCTCTGGGGAGGATTTATTAAAGAGGAGAGGATAAAAGTTGATAAAGTTAGGTAGGAATTGAAGAGAAAGTCAAGTGAAAAAGAGTTCCATTCAACTACATCACATGACAGCAGACAACTAAATACTGACAAATTGTATAAGTGCTTGTATGCAAATGCCAGAAGTCTAAATACTAAGATGGGTGAACTTAAGTGCTTGGTATTAAATTATATTTATGTAATAGGTATCACAGAAACTTGGTGGAATAATGATAATCAATGGGACAGGGTAATACGAGGATATCAAAGATATCGGAATGACGGAGTAAGTTGCTCTGGTGGGGAGTGGCACAATATGTTAAAGAAAGCATAGAGTCAAATATAGTAAAAATCTTAAATGAATCAAACAATATCATAGAATCTCTATGGATAGAAATTTCATGCTTGAGTAATAAGAGTATAACAGTAGGAATATACTACCAATCACCTGACCAGGATGGTGATGGTGATTGTGAAATGTTCAGGGAGATTACAGAGGCTACGAAAACAGAAAACCTGATAATAACAGTGGATTTTGACAACTATCCCCATACTGTCTGTGAACACGTCACCTCAGAATGGGATGCAGAGATAAAACTCCTAGACACCATTAATGACTGCTTCTTGGAACAGCTAATCATGGAACTCACAAGGGGAGAAGCAATTCTTGATTTAGTCGTAAGTGGTGTACATGATCTGGTGCCAGAGGTGAATATAGCAGAACGTCTTGGTAGTAACGACCATTGTGTAATTAAATTGAACATCTCTGTAGGGGAAAAATGCAAAAGAAACCCACCACAGTAGCATTTAATTTCAAAAGGGGGACCTATACAAAAATGAGGAAGCTAATTAAACGGAAATTAAAAGGAACAGTCACAAGAGTGAAATGCCTGCAAGTTGCACACAAACTTTTTAAAGGTTTCAGAGTAGCAGCCGTGTTAGTCTGTATCCGCAAAAAGAAAAGGAGGACTTGTGGCACCGTAGAGACTAACAAATTTATTTGAGCAAAGCCCGTTGCCAACTGTGTCCACATATCTATTCAGGGGACACCATCATAGGGCCTAATCACATCAGCCACACTATCAGAGGCTTGTTCACCTGAACATCTACCAATGTGATCTATGCCATCACATGCCAGCAATGCCCCTCTGCCATGTACATTGGTCAAACTGGACAGTCTCTATGTAAAAGAATAAATGGACACAAATCAGACGTCAAGAATTATAACATTCAAAAACCAGTTGGAGAACACTTCAATCTCTTTGGTCACTCGATTACAGACCTAAAAGTGGCAATTCTTCAACAAAAAACTTCAAAAACAGACTCCAATGAGAGACTGCTGAATTGGAATTAATTTACAAACTGGACACAATTAACTTAGGCTTGAATAAAGACTGGGAGTGGATGTGTCATTACACAAAGTAAAACTATTTCCCCATGTTTATTTCTCCCCCTACTGTTCCTCAGATGTTCTTGTCAACTGCTGGAAATGGCCCACCTTGATTATCATTACAAAATGTTCTTTTTCTCTCCTGCTGGTAATAGCTCACCTTACCTGATCACTCTCGTTACAGTGTGTATAGTAACACCCATTGTTTCATGTTCTCTGTGTATATAAAATCTCCCCACTGTATTTTCTACTGCATGCATCCGATGAAGTGAGCTGTAGCTCACGAAAGCTTATGCTCAAATAAATTTGTTAGTCTCTAAGGTGCCACAAGTACTCCTAAACTTTTTAAAAACGCCATAATAGAAGCTCAAATTAAATGTATACAACAAACAAACAAACAGTAAAATAAATTTGTTAGTCTCTAAGGTGCCACAAGTACTCCTTTTCTTTTTGCGGATACAAACTAACACGGCTGCTGCTCTGAAACCAGTAAGAAGATGAAAAATTGCAATCATGGCTAAACAGAGTAAAAGAGGCGGTTAAAGACTTCTTTAAAAATTGAAAGTCAAATCCTACTGAGGAAACTAGACAGGAGCATAAACTCTGGCACGTCAAGCATAAAAGAATAATTAGGCAGTCCAAAAAAGAATCCGAAGAGCAACTAGCAAAAGAGACTAAAACTAACAGCAATTATTTAAAGTACATCAGAAGCCAAACAATCAGTGAGGCCACTGGACAATAGAGGTGCTAAAGGAGCACTCAAGGAAGACAAGGCTGTTGCAGAGAAGCTAAGTTAATTCTTTACATCAGTCTTCACTGCAGAGGCTGCGAGGGAGAGTCTCTCACCTGAGCCATATATGTTTTTACTACAGTCAAATGATTTATGTTATTAATGCCCACTGTGCTCCTCTAATAAAAATATCAACTGCAGTCACACAGGCAATGATAAAAATGTATTAAGGATGATCAACCTTTGTGATTTAGAACAGTCCCAAACCACTAATTGCTCAGAATTAGGAAGAAACTTTCCCCAATACACACTTTTTTAATGGAGGTGTTACACTTCCCATCAAAGCATCTGGTACTTCCATTGTCAGAGATAGGATTAATGGACCATTGGTCTGATGCAACATAGCAATTAACATTTTCTAAAAGAGCAGTACTACCTTGTTGTCAATGCCATCCCTTGGTTCAAGCTTTTTTGGCACTATTATTTCAGAATAAGAAAAGTTTGAGGTCTCAGAAAATCCTAGAAAGAGAAATAGTTACAAAGACAAAACACAATATTTAAAGTTTATAATAACTGGGATATGTTCTACCAAACTAGCACTGCAAATAATTTTATACAGAAGTCACTCTGTACAATATGTTAATGAGGAAAAATTCAAGGGGAAATGAGGGGGATGAAGTCTTAACTCAATAATATTTGTAAACCATTTGAGGAGCTTGGACAGAGAAAAGAGCATTACTATTCTCTTGCTTCTCTTTCCCAACTCAAGTTAATTTTTCAAGCAGGCCCCTCCCATCCTTGTTTCATCACCCTGATTTGCTCTCCCCCCATCAAACATATTCCCCCTTCAGCAGGCCCTCTCTCCTCACCCCCACAGCCAGACAAAACCCTCACTGGACCACCTTGCTTCCTTATTTGGATAGACGGTGGTTAAAAATTGATGATTTAAAAAAAACACAGATTTTTTATTTAAATAAGATTTTTAAATTTAAATTAACTAAAGTTTCATTTTGTTAAAAATAAACAATTTAAAATTAAATTTGAGATTAACAACCTGTGTTAAAGGCCTAAACTTATTATAATCTATTAAAATCATTTAACTACAACAACAATAGTAAGCAGTACATTTTTGCTGCAAAGTTTAAAGAAAGTCAAACCATTGAACTGGTGGAAGTCACTGGCTAAGCATATGGAACCAGAGTTTGTTGAAGTTCTAAACCAGCTTTTGACACCAGTATCCTCTTCTGCAGGTGCAGAGAGAATATTTTCTTAATTTCAGTTTATTCAACTAGTTCAGTTCAATGACTAGTTTTTTCAAATTTAAGAAACCAATGGGAGATTAAAAAACAAAAACTCATTTTCCTCTTTCATAATATGAATAAAGACGATGTATGAAGGGAGGAGCTCTACTAGTTCTAAAAATTTTGAAGGCTACAGAGACCACAAACAATGAAACTTAATTCACCAACTCCTGATAATAGTTACTTTCTTTAATAGATCTGTTTTAAATGAAAAACATTTTAACAATTTTACATATCCAGAACATTCAAGCTAATTCAACTTAATAAAAAAAAATAAATGTGGCTTGTGCATTTTTAATTGAACCTGAATTTCCTTCTAAAAAGAGCTTGACACAAATCTCAAATAAAAAAAATCAAACACCAGCTGGTAAATAAGAAATGCAGCCCCCTCCTTGGAGTGCTCCAAAACCCCCTCAGCAACCCTATTTCCTTCAAAATCACCATGCCTACGCTCCACTACAAAACACTAACTCTTTGTGGATCCCCCATCACTTTCCCTGTTCAAGCATCCTTCAAGCCTTCTGTGGGTCCTGCCCTACCCCTCCACACTACCTCTGACCACAGCCATGACCCCCAAACTCCCTACTCCACACCTTTCCCCCTCCTCCCCCATCCTGTTCTGCCCCTGCCCTCACAAAATCATTCTCATCCCCCCAAAAACTCAGTGGGCCTGGCTCCTCATTTCCTGCTGTGTCACCCTCTGAATCATAGAATATCAGGGTTGGAAGGGACCTCAGGAGGTCATCTAGTCCAACCCCCTGCTCAAAAGCAGGACCAATCCACAACTAAATCATCCCAGCCAGGGCTTTGTCAAGCCTGACCTTAAAAACTTCTTAGGAAGGAGATTCCATCACCTCCCTCGGTAATGCATTCCAGTGTTTTACCACCCTCCTAGTGAAAAAGATTTTCCTAGTATCCAACCTAAACCTCCCCCACTGCAACTTCAGACCATTACTCCTCGTTCTGTCATCTGCTACCACTGAGAACAGTCTAGAGCCATCCTCTTTGGAATCCCCTTTCAGGTAGTTGAAGGCAGCTATCAAATCCCCCCTCATTCTTCTCTTCCGCAGACTAAACAATCCCAGTTCCCTCAACCTCTCCTCATAAGTCATGTGTTCCAGCCCCCTAACCATTTTTGTTGCCCTCTGCTGGACGTTTTCCAATTTTTCCACATCCTTCTTGTAGTGTGGGGCCCAAAACTGGACGACACAGTACTCCAGATGAGGCCTCACCAATGTCGAATAGACGGGAACGATCACGTCCCTCAATCTGCTGGCAATGCCCCTACTTATACATCCCAAAATGCCATTGGGCCTTCTTGGCAACAACAATCCCACCTGGTGGGCCCCTCCCCGTCTCTCCTCCAACCTCACTGCCCCTCTTCCCTTCCCCCTGCAACGCCACACTGCTCCCCCTCCCCACGAGAGGCACCACTACCCCTTCCCCACCTAAACTCATCTGACCAAGGGCAGGAGCAAAGTCCCAGCATCAGCCCGGCCATGGAACCCCCAGGAGGCAGCGCACCTGCACTGCTCCTCACACACACCAGCCAAGTACCGGCCTCGAGAGACGTCACCTCAGCCACTTCCCAGCCAGCCCCTTTTCCAGCTCACCCCTTTCCAGCTGGTGCTTTGGGCCAACCTACTCCAGAATCCATACGCCTCGCAGCCCTTTGCCCCGGTTCTAATCTCTCCCTGCTTCATTCCTTGAACCTCCCCCTTGGTCGTCTGTGCTCACTTTTCCCTGCCCCCAAAAGAGTCCCTTTGCCCCCTTCCCAGTTTGCCTCCATGAACCCTCAGGCCCACATCCCCTTTCTGCCTCTTACCCGGTTCGAGCCCCTGACCTGCTATCAGGAAATCCTGCTCCTAGTCCCAATCTGGCACCTCCTGAATCTCCCGTCCGTGCACCCTGCTCTGGATTCACAAATCCCCCACCCTTTGATTTACCCCCCAGTGCTCCCTGCTGCCCCCAAGACCCCATATTCCCCCTCCACTCAAGCCCCTGTTCCCCTCCTTGTGCCCCAGTCCTGCTCCTCCTCCTGTTCTGGCCCCGTTTTCCCTCACAACCCTGCTCTGACTCCTGGCTCCCCCCTTCCCTGCATGGCCTCCACCTTGCAAGCATGACCTCAAATATCTACCCGCTCTGGCATCTCCACCAGACTCACTGCCCCCCTCACCTGGGCTGAGGACCAGGAGCAGGAGCAGGACCCAGACCTGCAGCCCCATCCCTGCGGCTCCTCACAGACACCGGCCAACCACGTGCAGCAAGAACAGAGACAGCGTCTCCCACCCCCTCTGCTCAACTGCCCTAGTGTCAGCTCCGCTCCAGTCCCACTGCCCCAGGCCCAGCCCCCGCCCCCTCCTCCTCCTCTCCTCTCCCACTGCCCCAGGCCCAGCTCCGCCCCCTCTGCTCCTATTGCCTCAGGGCCAGCCCCGCCCCGCTCCAACTGCCTCAGGGCCAGCCCCGCCCCCTCTGCTCCTATTCCCAGGCCCCGCCCCCTCTGCTCCTATTGCCTCAGGGCCAGCCCCGCCCCGCTCCAACTGCCTCAGGGCCAGCCCCGCCCCCTCTGCTCCTATTGCCTCAGGCCCCGCCCCCTCTGCTCCTATTGCCTCAGGGCCAGCCCCGCCCCCGCTCCAACTGCCTCAGGGCCAGCCCCGCCCCCTCCTCTCCTCTCCCCTCCCACTGCCTCAGGCCCAGCCCCCGCCCCCTCTGCTCCTATTGCCTCAGTGCCAGCCCCGCCCCCTCCTCTCCCCTCCCACTGCCTCAGGGCCAGCCCCGCCCCCTCCGCTCCTATTGCCTCAGACCCAGCCCTGCCCCATTACGATCCTACTGCATCTGTGCCAGCCCCACCCCCGCCCCTCCAGCCCTAGTGCCAGCTCTGCTTCAACTGCCTCCTCCCCTCCAACTCCCTCAGTGCCACCCTGGTCCCCTCCCTGCCTCAGGCCCAATCCCACCTGCCACCCAATCCGATCCCCGCCCCCTCCTAGCCCCAAGACCCTGCCCCCCCGCGCCTGAGCCTGCCCTTTGCCACGTCCCATTTGCCTCGCTCCCCCAAAGATACCTTGGTGGCTCCCACCCGGACTGGCTCCCACATGAATCCCCCTCAGCCTCGTTCCTCTCTCCTTCCTCCACCCCACCATGCCGTGCTGCCAACTTAGCAATTCTGTCACCAGGCTTAGTGACGTTTTGGTTTCCCGAGCGAGGAAACAAGTGTCAAAGTGAGCAGGAACACATCTAGCAACTTTCACTGCCGATTACAGGGATATTCAGAGAAAGAAGTTGCCAATCTGCATAGGAGGCTCAACAGTGTTAATAAAATCAGTCCCACGCTCTTCTTACTATGCCAAGGTACTGCCATTACGGCTCACGTGGGCATGTCCTTGGAACTTCCTGGGCTGAGAGGCTATGAATGAGAAGAGGGGTTTGACTAGAGCGCCTGGTGGCAGAATAAATCCTTAGCCCATAGCTGGGGCTTAGCCCGTAACTGGGGCTCAGCTTCGATTCCTTGGTGGCAGGGAGGGGGTGAAAAGCCAGATCTAATGGGGTGGGGAAGCTGGAAGGGAAAAGGATACAACTGCCTTTATGGAGAAAAATTTTGATCTTCTGCTTAGTAAAAGCCATTAGTGATCAGGGCAGGTGCCAGTCCCTAGGTGAGGGTGATGCAAGAAAAAACATCTGTCAACAGATCTTTGAGCCTTTGGCCACTGAAATGTTAACTGATCAAAATCCCCCAGCAAGGAGTGTGAAGCCGGCTTGCCTAGCTGAGCAATTCCTCCGCACTCTGCTGAACCTGCCCCTGTTACTAGCTTCTGTGCTCACCCTGCTCGGGCAAGAGGACACTCCCAGGTCCAGAACAGAAAGCAGAAGCAATGCTGGGCGCTTCCTCTCCAGTTAGATAGTTTTGGCAGCAGCTCTATTGGTGTCTCTCAGCTGGTAGGGGACTGGCAAGAGGTTTCTGGCTGTCCTGGTTACATGGGGCAGGGCTGGGGGTTCCCCCCTGTTCTTAACCTGGCATTTGGCTGCCTCTCCAGCCCTCTCTTTGTGGCTCTCCTCTCTGGGGCACAGCCCAGATTCCCTTAGCCCCTGCAGGTATGATCTGTCTCAGGCAAAGCGAACATGCCTCCCTAAGTCACCCCCTGTCCCCATGGGCCCTGCTCCACTTCCCAAACCACCCTCAGTGCATCGCCCCCTCAAGCCTTTCATCAGCAGGCTGTGTTCTGCTCCTTCTTGTTCCACCCCCAAACCTCCCATCTATGAATCCCCCATCTGCAAGCCACATTCTGCCAACTCATGACTCTACTTTTCATTGATGTTGACAGAGTTTCAAGAAAACAATCTCTCCATGAATCCCATGGAGTTGGCACTTGTAACACTGACCCATGAAGGGGAATCGGCAGCAGTGATCAAACCAGGGACCCTCTGGAGCTAAATGCCTGAGCTGCTAATGCATGAGGTAAAAGACACATATCTCTTGGCCAAGGCTGCTGTAGGCTCATCGATCGCTCAGGGGCCTAACCACCACTAGAGGGGACCAGAGTGCCACTCCAAGCACACAGGCGTTACAAGACAAACAGTACTTTTTCAACTTTCCTATGTTTTATGTTTACTTCTCAGAGTGAATACTGCTTTTCTCACACAGTGTCTTGTAGAAAGGTAATACAAGTAAAGCATATATTGTCTTTTTATGTTCCTACATTTATCTTGTTCACAGTCAGGATTTGGTATTTAGTGCTCAGTTACGCTCCATTCAAAAAACTGATTCCACTTTTCCAAAGAGGTAGAGTTTAACAGAAGAAGTATGTCATCTCTCCAGTTTTACTTTTATACAGAGCTTCTCTTAAATAGTGTCACTTTATATTTTACTGACTGATTTGGCAACATTATTTGTTAAACCTACATATTACACTGTTTTCCATATAACAATTTATATTTGCTCCATCAAAAAAATTCAGGAAGAGAAGATTAAAGTTGTGCCATTAATCACCTCAAAGTCAAGAAATTTATATTTTTAGTTGTAGAAAAGCCTTAGAACAGTAATTATTAGGTTTCAGTGTTAACAACCAGTTGAAGAATTAAAGTAGTTCTCATTTCTGGGAGTTATTGTTTTAAGCTGTTTTTCAAATTTTGGAGGACATTTTGTTAATTTTTTAAAAGTTTTTTAAAAAATTTTTTTCAGCTTGGTTATATTCTGGAGCAGTATTGAACAGTTAAAGGGTGGATTCTCAGAAAATATATTCATACCAGTCTCAGAAAAACTAAGGTAACTATGAGGAATTTTATTTTCCTCAGGAATTTGGTCAACTCTCTTAGATCTAAAATAGGCCTGTGATCTCCTTTTGCTTTGAGAATAAGAAAGTAGCGGGCACAACTGCACTTCCTTTATGGCCCATGCCTGAAGGAGTGACTGGATCGCCTGCTGAAGGACAGTCTGGTGAGAGGGGTCCCTGAAGAGAGACAAGGGATTGGAAGGAGGGATAGAAATGAACTAGAGGACATATCCCAGTTTGATCATGCTTGAGACCCACAGATCTGATGTTACATGGGCCCAAACACTTAGGAAGCAGATAAGCAATTTGTAAACAAGAGGTGGGAAACAGATGGAACTAAAGTAACTGGTTCACTGCCCTGGACCAACCCATCAAAATGCCTGTTTATTTGAGGTAGCTGGAAAGGATGAACATACTGATGCTGAAGAGGAGGGTAGTGAAGGTTGTCTCCTATCCTTTCTCCTTGTTGGATCTTGAGAACAGGGAGTAAATCCCTGGTGTCTGTATGACTGTTGTGGAGGGAACTGTTTCCTTTTTGTTGCCAGAGTATAGATTCCAAGTGATTTTAATGTTGCCCTGGAATCTTTCAGGCTATGGAGCCTATCGTCCATCTTATCCAAAAACAAAGAGAGACTTTAGAAATGGAGGTACTGGATAGTCTGTTGGACCTGTGGGGGAGCCCAGATGACTGCAACCACAACCATCTCCTCACAGAAAATAAAAGTGACTAACCTTTCCTTAACTGTTGTTCTTCAAGATGTGTTGCTCATGTCCATTCCACGTTAGGTGTGCACATGCTGCATGCACTGTCACCGAAGATTTCCCCCTCAGTGGTATCTGTTGGGCCAGCTCTAGCACCTTCTGCTGCCACATGCTCATTGTTAGGATATAGATATTCAGGCCTGTCTGCAAAGGCCTGTACTTTAAGAATTTAGGGGTATTCTTATCACTTGGCTAGTTCTAGAGGTATAAAAGAAAGAATCAAAATCACAGTCTGCTGGTGTAAGGGTGTTGCCAACACCCAGTGCCGAGAGGCTGAACAACAGCTTGAGTTGGTTCGCTACCCGGTGTGCTACACCCAATAATCACAACGGGGTGGAGAAGCAGAAAAGTTTATTTGCAGCTGCAAAAAGGTACAGGGAGAATAAAATCTCAAATCCTGCACAACAGAGCAGGAAGTTACACAGGCTTTTATACATCCTTTTTCCCAGCATACTTATCCAATAGCAAGCTGCCCCAAGTATCCATATAGCCAGCCAATCCAGTTCCCAGCTAGTTCCCTGATTCTCTGTATCATTTGTTAAACTATACATAAAGCTGCTTTATTCAGCATTGTTCTTCCATATCTGCCCTGTTTGGCCTTGCTTAGTTTCAGGCAGTCTGACTCTGCAGCATATTGTTGCAGATCCTCAGCATAACTGCTGTGTGTGCCTCCAGGCGGGGGGGCCAAGGACACTTGGGCCTAGTACGCAGAGCTGCTGCGAGTGCCTCCAGGCAGGAGGGGGGGCCAAGGACACCGGGGCCTAGTGCGAGGGGGCTTCATCGACACTCGTGGTCTTCCATCCCCTCGAGTTACCTAGTGGCCATGCCCCAGTGTCCCCAACAACGGCCTTCTCTTACTGTGACAGTTTGAGGCCCTGTTCTTAGGCTAAGGCCTTTGGCTAAGCAGCAGAGGCAGCCATAAGCTGGGAAGCGAACAGTCACATCCTCACATTCCAAACTAGTCACATTGAAATAAGGTGCTATTGGGCTGTCAGGCACTATCAGGACAGGATTGTATTCGTATCACCTCCAGAGAAAGGGAAGTGCCTAGAAAATGTAAAAGGAAACTTAGTTTGATAGCATCCTGTCTGGCAAGAACTCACTTATCAATAGCTGGGATGTGAAATCCTCATTTCTGTATTGTTTTATCATTATAGTTCCCACTTTGCTATTGTTTGTCTGTATAATCTCTGTCT